GATTCAAAGCTAGAAATTAGTTGCGAATCCACTTTTTCTTATCCATTCTGGAAATTGCATATGCAGTAGTGATTCCCCTTCCCAGAAAGCACAACACAAATAATTCGTCAAAAACAGCTAATTGATATACTTCATTGGCAGCATATTCTGTAATGATTTTCTCACACAGCAAATATCACTGATTTTATTCACATGCAGACCAATACACATAATCATCCAGATGCGATCTTGGTATTCAACCAACTTTCTTCTCAGAGATGAAAACTACAGACCACTCGACTTCCCAAAACATATGCAACCAACAATGCGCGTAATTTAGTTGAGTCGTTCCTCCATAGATGGACGCTCACAACGATTCTACTGAGCAAACGTGGAATGACTGTTTGCACCCTAAAACTACCTAGTCTGCAAGATGACATTTTATAGGTTTTTTTTTTGACGTTTTATACGTTTTTTACATAATACCCGTGCCGTTCTCTTCCGTTTTATCTCAAATTCTGGCAACTGTTGACATTTATCAAACAGATTTATGCATACCTACATCCATTTTCAGCAAAATAATATGTTTTTGGATTCTTCATACCGTTAGACTTTCCATTACAAAGTTCACTTCGTGTTTAGAGTCGAGACCGATAATAACGGCGAGAATAGTTCCTGGAGCGACTCTTCTATTAGTGTTTCGCAAAATGTAAAAGAATCACGCCCACATCCTCTTAGTTACTGTGCTCGCTGATTCCAAGAATTAACCCCCCTGTTTCAAAATTCTTATTGCAGGTGTTCAACAAAACATCCCTCAGTGCAAGCAAGACTCATCAAATGGCCCAGTTATTGTCAGCGAAAGTCTATGCCAGAGGTTACCAAAACCGGCGGTCCAGTCAAGACCTTGTAGGAAACCGGCTTGTGAAAGCATAAGTGACAATGAGCTTCCTAGAATTGAGGAAAAGTCATGGATGACAGGAAACTGGAGCCAGGTAAGTTTTCAATATAGATTTGTTTTATCTCCTAGGATCTATATAGCACTAAAGCAACATAAAAGGGTCGCATCAAAATTAGTTTCATTATATTTTAGCAACTTATTGTAACACCACAAACTTTACAATCAACGGTAGGAGCGAGGGGATCGAATGGCTGGTTTCAACAATTGTCATCTACTGATTAATGACAAACGAGCGCTATAGGTGCGAAAGAAATATTGTAGGGAGACTAAATTCATTGAGATTCGGTCTGACTATCAACATTGCTCCGCACAATTCAAGCAATCGGAAAACACTTCCTGTGGAGTTGAAGAAGCACCTGGAAAGTCGATAGTTCATTTATAAAAAGTGTCCATGGTACCTGGGTCGGAAAACTCAATTTTCGATCTGTAGTAGAGGGTCAAGGGTCAAAATTCCATTTAAACATGCTACTTTCGTGGATCCAACTACAGATAGTCAACTATGGAGAACTGTTTCGTGTTTTTTATATCTTTATCCAACGTATGAGAAATATTGAAATAAGACAACGCAAAGCGCTATCTATTGCCAGAATCGACCACTGCAAGAGTGTACAGCAGCAATCAGTTAGAGCTGTAATGATCTCAGGCACCTGTTTTGCGCTTTTTGGCAACTCAGTATGTTAAGTTATTCAATGGAGAGTAGACCACCCGATAGCAACTATACTCTCGCAGTGGTAGATTCTGGTAGTTGATAGCGCTTTGTGCTGTCTTATTTCAAAATTCCAACTTTTAATAAAGCGTATTAAAAGAAGATGAAGGATGATATCTTAAACTTGTATTTAAAGCCATCAAATATTGATGCTAGTTTGTGCTCTACAGGCCTCCCCTTCAGAGATCCAGGCCACAAAGTGACAGCTCTGTAGAAAACTTTGGTTGAAAGCATTCCAATGAATTTCAACAGAGTGACTGTAAAAAGCAACTTGAATCATTCTTCATTAAACTAACATTCAAAATTTTGAATCAACCTTGTTCGCTAACCGTTTTTACTATCACTTTAATAGGGTCCTGTATCCCCTAGAGGCGGCCGGAATGATACCTTTTGTGCAAACTAGCCAAAATATTTCATTTTTTCAAGTACAAATCTGAGATATTGTCCTCCATCTTCTGTTTATATAGATGTATCAAAAGTTTCCATTTTGATCTTTGACCTCCCCATTTATGACACCAAAACTGAATTTCCGTTCCCAGATTCCGTTGTTTTGTGTGAAGTATTTTGGAATGATGGCGGGATTGTAAATGGCGAACTTAACGAGGTCGCGACGATGTCGAACCACGCGATATCATTCGTTATAGCAATCGACATAACAAATCTTCGTCAACGCCATCCATATTTCTGGCTCTCTTGTATCGCTATGTCAACGGGCTTTGATCCTCATAACTCTCTTCCATGATGCCACCGCGCGTTGCGATTTTCACACAGACCCGTTTTGCCTGCCTCCCGTCCTATTTCTCGAACTTCGTGCATCCAGAGCTGGCCAGTACGATCCCTCATCTGTTCCTAAGGTGTCCAAATGGTGAAACAGTCCACCTGAAGTGAATTTTCTCAGTTCTGCATACTTTAAGCTTCAAGCAATTAAAAAATTGGACTAACAATGTGTCTTAAAGCTCTTTACAGCAGTCGCAGTGCCCCGGCATTTAGGTTTCTGTCTACGCGGTTACATCAGCAAAACATATAGTAATTTTCTTTGTCGAAATAAGACAGCACAAATTGCTATCTATTACCAGAATCGACCACTATAAGATGAACAGTTCGCATTTGATAGCCCAGTAACCGCTAGATGTTGTCGAATCTGGCGGTATATTAGATGTGGTCTCTGTTACTAGCCATTGAACAACTGAACATACTGAGTTGCCGAAATGCACAACACGGCTGTCAACTGTTGGCCGTCTGTCGTCGAACAGACGCAAACGGTATGTTCAGTTATTCAATGGCAAGTAGACCACATCTATTATACTACCAGTATCGACAGTGTCTTGCGGTCATGGGCTATCAAACGCGAACTATATTAACCCAGATACTACTACCATCCTTTATAAAGGTATTGCGATTCAATGATTCTGTAAGGAGTTTCAGTAATTTTACAGAAGGTGTCGCCACCACGCTCTGTCAAAGAACATTAGAACTACCACCAATTACTACACTTTAGTCACATGCGTATCGCTTGAGCTATATATCGACATTTATACAGTGTGCTTCTACAAATAGTGATCATGTATGAGTGGAGGTAAGTTTTTGTTACATTTGTACTTATGAATATCTGTACTATTTATGGTTTTCAGATATTAGTGATACAGAAAAGTCTACATTATCATATATCAGTTGTTTTGAGGTTATGATCTAGTTTTTACACCTGCTCAAAGTTGTCGTCCTTTTTAAAGGACGGTAGTGACATAATCTATGTACCTAAAAAATAATTTCTCTGATTTTAGAAGGCCCTTGAAGTTACATGAACTTCTAGAAGAATTAGAACATCCCGATAAAATTCCCGTTCCTACTGATGGTGTAGTACTCTTTCCAACAGAGAACGCAAAAGATGACGTCACAGATTGTGATTCGGGAGATGAAGTGTTTAGAACACTGAATAATCTTCCAGGAAGTCAACTGAGAAATGATGTGGAAATAATCGGAGACGCCATGAGTATTCAAAATAGGCCGCCTAGCGTAATATCATCGATACAGGAAGACTATGAGCAGTTGTATGACTCTGAAAATGATACACCTCTATCACAACTTTATCCCAAAGCATCACCATCCAATCTAGAAGGTACATGCCCTCGTCCGATAAAAAAGCTCAAGACACTATCATGGACTAATGAAGATATCCCTCCCCCTTCCGCCATTGAATGGAATAAACCTGCTGGTCTCATGCAAGAATTGCCTCCCATGCAGTTATTTGAATGTTTTATTGATCCCGAAGTTATAGACATGATATTTGAATACACCAATAGATATGCACTACAAGCAAATTTGAATATTGAAGTATCCTCGAGAGAAATGAAGTGTCTTTTAGGTGTCCTGACATTGAGTGGGTACGTGATTCATCCTAGGAGATTTATGTTTTGGGAAAATAGGAGTGATACTCACCACAATATGGTAACTAAAGCTATGTCAAGGGACAGATTCTCACAAATTATGAAAGTCCTCCATTTCTGCGACAATACTGATCTGGATAAATCGAACAGGTATGCAAAACTTCGTCCATTGTTTAGTTTATTGGATACGAAGTTCATATAGTTTGCTCCTTTGGAACAACAGCATAGCATCGATGAAGCCATTGGCAAACATGGCTGTAAGCAGTTCATAAGAGGAAAACCTATAAGGTGGGGGTATAAACTGTGGGTAGGAGCTCTTCGACTGGGCTATGTGATTTGGTTTCTGTCTTGATCAGGTTGCATTGTCAGAGGCACCAGACAACAATAATGGCTGGGAACATCAGAGAAATATTAAGAGGGGTCCATCTAAGCGAAACACGAAAGAAAATGCTTATTCTAGATATGATGGGCTCAATCACCTTGTGGTTTATCAAGAGAACCAACAACGTTGTGGCGAATGCCATAAGAAGTTCTGTTTCGCTGCAGAAAATGTAGTGTTCCACTACATCCTAAAACGTGTTTAGAACAGTATCACACCGAATAGTTATTTGTTTTATGTCTTACAATATGTGTCCTTGAAATAAAATTTGTGCTATCAGCAGATCATTTTACTACCGTCCTTTTTAAAAAACACCTCGTAACTCTTAGTCAGGGATAAAAAAGTTCATAAACCGGTTTTGGTCGTTGAAATGGAGTCAATTTACTGTACTCTCACTAAGAAACCGGCAAATATTGGGAAAAAAAAGTTTCAGTAATATCACTCTCACAGTGGTTGATCCTCGTAATAGATGGCACTAGTTTTTCCAAAGATCTTATTCCTCAGTATGAGGATAATTGCTGTGCTTTCGTTCAGTGCTAGACCTGGGACCTAGCCTTGACCGTGTTGATAAGTTACCAAAAGGCACGAAATAACTGTCCACGGTAGGCCATCTGTGGTCGAGCGGACGTAAGCAGTATGTTTAATTTTTTCGTGTCTTAGCATTTATACAACATGTCACTCACTGTGTAAATTCATCACTCTATGTATTTGACGTAGTAAGTTATATCAATATTTTAGAATCTCGGTAATTTGCTCTTATCAATTTCAGTGTTCTGTGACATGCGGCACAGGTCATAGAACACGATCAGTGATATGTCCGTCAAGCCACCATTGTAAAGCAGAACACAGACCTGCACATGCCGAGTACTGCAACATGGGACCTTGCTCAGCGTCACTTTCAGGCATCGTTTCAGATTCAGGTAAGTCAAACATCAAAACTTATACTTATACAATACTTATAACGAAAGACCATCCACCGATATTCTTCAAGTGAGAAGTCTAAAATCTCTCGCACATGCTCTCTCAAAACGTTGCACAATTTTGATATAGTACTTCCATCCCAGGCTGATGCTATGGGTCATACCTAACTATACAGCGTTTATCTAAAGTGAAATGATGGAAACATACTCGTATGTTTATTCAAGAAACCTACATTTTCCTTTTAGAGTCTCGAAATTCTATAACGTCATCTTCATCATCTTGGCTGGTTACTGAGTGGTCACAATGCTCGGAATCATGCGGTACAGGTCATCAAACAAGATTGGCACTATGTGAAAACGAAGAGGAAACCTGTTCTGATTCAAGTAAACCTGAAGTTTCCAGAGCTTGTTCTAGTGAAAAGGAATGTGGAGGACAATGGTTCACAGGTAGGGAACAAAGTATTATACTGAGTAATCTCCCGGCGATTGTTGGAAGAGTAGAATTTCTGAATATGTGGAATGAGGTGACAAACTATAAATGAAAGCTAAGACCATGTCATTACTAATTTAAGGTATAGGCAATGTATTTAAATCTCCAAAAAGTGATCTTATGTATTTCACACGGAGGAAATCAGCTAGTAAATTTTAATTTTTATTCCGTATAACGATTAACGCATGACCATATATTCCGTATAATAATATCAAAGTCAGCGAATGATAGTACATTACAAACATAGTTTGAGAGGTGGCTCATTATTGACAAAGCACTTTTATAATCTACGGCCCGTATCGCCGAAGGGTATATATAATATGCGACACCAATAATTACCCTCATACAAGGTAAATATAGAATTTCTTAGCTACTTACAGTATACATGAAAAAAAAATAAAACCGATAAAAGAAGACGAGGATTAGGTGGCTTAGAAATGAGGAAATCCTGAGAGTGCTGAATGGAGAAGATGTAAAATTTATCAAGTCACAAACGTTAAGGTAAAATTAACTTATGTCAAGTGCTCTATGATTCTCACTATACGTCCCTTAAGAAGTGGGATTATATCGATCTTCATTGGCATGATGTAGATTTTTCCGAAAGACTGTCACCATGGAACTAGCTGTTATTCACTTAATGTTCACTTGTACGAGCTGTACGTGTCGCGTAAAGTCATAACACTTGGGCTAGGTTTGGTGCTGATGTGATGTAACATTTGCTTCAGAGATGGCACTAGCGAAATCCATTTATAGCTATAAATTCTATACTCTAGGTCGTTGTGCCATACCTCTATATAGAGGCGTACACAGCGAGCACGCGTGGCGTGGACTAGTGACCAACTAAAACACAAGTTGGATAATACGGATTTTTATAATGAAATTATACCGATTTTTACGTGATGCCCTTGTCGGAGTGGTTTGGTCTGATCCATCCAATAAGATACGATACAAAAGTTTACTTCTTCTGATTATTTTCAAGAAAGAGAACTGCATCAGGAGCTATAGTCAAAATTACTTATTTTTCAATCGATCTAAAATATTTCGAAACATGAAGTTCAGCTGTCAAACTCAATGAAATTGACGCATCTGCCTACTGTGTTTTTGTTTCTTTTCATCATTCACCCATAGGGAGAGAAATGCTATTTCTTAATGAGGAATTGCGACCAATAATGGTGATTTCTTGGGTTGGTAGTAAAAAAGGCTCATTTCCTCACATCTAACCTAAGCCTAACCTGCATGGTACGAGTAGGGCAGCATCCTAAGAACATTCTATGGAAAAACTCAGTCCTCATCCACATTTTACTAAATTTTAAATATTAAATAAAAATATTTCAAATTAAACTAGGTTCCCGTCTAAAATAACGATAAATAGTATTGGTCCAACAGGCAGTAATTTGTTATTTTTCTTTTATCGTTGTTTTTTTTGACAAAGTATTGAAAACAAAAAAAATGTGTTTTAAGAGACAAATTTGGTATTGCTTCAGTTTTCTTCAACTGGATCTTGATAATATTTGATAGAGACTGAAAAGCATTCGGAACATACTAAAATCTTGGAAATCTCGTATTCCTTTTCGGCAAAGTTATGTTGAGCAAGTAATACATCGAAAAATTTAATGTGATAATGTTTCAGGTCCATGGGGAAAATGTTCGGATTCATGTCCCGGAAGAGCAAAACAAAAAAGGGAAGTAATCTGCATAGTGAAGATCCGAGGCCAGTCGCACATTACCAACGAAATGACTTGCTCTGCACACCTGAAACCATCTGAGGAACAAGCGTGTGAAGGCAGCTGTCCACCACATTGGTTCGTAGGTGAATGGGGACAGTGTGAAGATTCATGTCCGGTGAGTATTTGAATATTTTGAATTTTTTGGAAATTTTGTGAATTTTCAGAATCTTCCGAGTATTCGAGATTTTCGGGCTTGGAATTTTTGCGATCTTCTGAATTCTCGGAAGTTTTGGAAATGTTGGGTAACTCGATATTTCCGAAAAGAAAAAAAAACAAAACCTCTGGTACTTGACACTCAATATTCATTTAGTTTTTTTATTTTTTCAGGTAGGGGTACAGCGTAGAGAAGTGAAATGCCTGGATTCTCACGGCAAAAGGCACAATGGTTGTGCGGCAGAGGATATGCCGGTTTCAAAACGTACCTGCGCATGTCCAGTAAAGGCTGCTACAGATAGTCGGGAAAAATATAAACCTGCACAAGATGAGCCAGCTGATCGTGAGTACTACCTTTGGGACATTAGAAAAACACACGAAGATCGCCCGACTAAAAGGCGTTATGACAAAAGAACTTTTGGAAATCTTTATGATTTTCAGCTAGATGTGAACATGGTCTTACAATACAGCAATATTCCACATTTTTTACTATCCAGGATAACATTCAGGCTCAATTTTGCTACTAACCCGTGGGGATGAAATTGTCCAATTAGATGGAGGTTTTGAAGTAATAAATCTAATGAGTATAATCGATTTCTTCTAAAATACTTCCGAAACTGGCGAAAAATTATACGATTTATGTAAGATGAGCGTCTAATACCCATATTGTCAGGAGATTCTTAATAAATCACTTAGTTCAGCTACAAAAATCTATTTTTCCATTTGACTCAAGCATCAGAACCGCGGATCAAAATTGACCAATGAGATAGCGATTTTGAAGTAACGGATCTGATGAATGTTGTCGATCTCTTCTCTAATACCTCTCAGAAATAGACTCAAATCGCTATTAAAATCAAGAAAACTTTCATAAGGATATTATCAGGTTTTTATGTTTGATTTAGGTCTGTTTCTATTATGTACAATGTGCATTTGATATTTGCTTCTGATTGATCAATATTGATCCGCGATTTAAATGTTCATCCCCGTGTAGCAAAATCGAGCATTTGAAAGTCAAAATCTTCAAAAAAATAATAGTCATGTAATTAATGTTTTGTCTGTTGTATGTTACAGGATCGTGTGTTGACAGGATCCGCAAATGCAAGTTAGCAGTACAAGCAAGGCTATGTCATTATCCTTATTACACAACACACTGTTGTGAGTCTTGCCGCAGGGCACAGGATCTGTTCGACTAAACCATTGTAATATCAAATAGTTCAGACGTAGACAGAATTGACAGTCAGATTTAATGTTTGGAATGTAGTAAAATTTTGATCTCGTCGCCTGAAGGGTTTCTAAACTGACGCCAACACCTGTATTGTTTTCTCGCACAGTTGTCTTTAACTGTTCTCGAGCCGGAGATACAGCGAGAAACAAGGGACCACAAAAACGTAACGCGAGAAACCATATAGCTATTTTCCCATGTTTTATTGGCGAGGAGTCAGCCCTAGAAACTGCGATTCAAAGAGCGCAGTATTCCTATGGAAATCAAGAATTAAAGATAAGAAATTTACGACTGCTGAGCTAAAATGTGTCGAGGTCAAAATTTTACTATGTGTGATAGTGACTAATATGAATGTGCATGTGGTACATGCATAAAAGCATACGAATACATTTTTAAAATTCATTCACCTCGTTTATTGTGAAACTTACGTGAAATATGCGAGATTATGATAACTTACTTGACTATATTTTTGTCACTCCTAGACGTAGTATTTTGCTTGCCAGTCAAATAAACTTGTATTAATGATTTTCATTTTTTCTACTATGTTCAATTTGAACATTTATTTACGTACGAATTCTGTGTAACAACGCTCTAGATTGTCTAGACGATAAAATATACGTATAAAAAGAGAAATTATACTTCACTATTAATGCTTACAGAAAAAAATTTAATGCGAAAATTCTTCGTATCATAATAATTGAAATGAAAAATAAGACACTTTTATCTAACAGTGGCAAAATTGGTAAACAGATACCACGTATGTTTCACATACAAAAATACTCTTTTCAATATGTAAAATAGATATCTGTGATTATAACTATTTGTAGTTTAACTTTATTTGAAGAGTAGTGTAACATATCTTACGTTTCTATTTTTAAAAGTTTGTGAATCACATTCGAAAATTCATTATAAAGTAGACAAGTAGACCTAATGTTCTTAACACTGGTGAATTTTTGGATTTGTTTTCAAAAGCTGTTTATTTCTAATTTCTTTCAGATTACCTATTACGAATTACGTTTAATTTGTAATATGCTCTATTTACATTTTTGAGCGTAAGATGATATGACAACTGCATTTATAATATAACGAATAATTTCTTGTCCGATTTATATCTATAACTTGCTTAACCGGGCACTGCCGAATTTACTGATATATGTAATTTTTTGAGATAGCAAAACAAGCACTTGCCAACTTGTATTTTTATTATGTAGAGTTATTTATTGGGCAGATTTAAGTTAGGTGTAAGGTTGATATCTATCAAAATAAGTATTAACTCTTAGGCTATATATCTATTTATTAGAAATAAATGTTTTTAAATGACTTATTTGCGATAATTCACCCCAGAGGACGATATGCTTCCTACAACAGATCTTAGTGAGGTTGTTCGAAATACCAAAAGACAAAATACGGACCATTTTTAAGCTCCAGCCACAAAAATGAGAGTCCATATACAATGCCCATCAAATGTTAATGAATGGTATAAGAAATAGAATCTGGCTCATATAGAGGAAAGGTAATTAAATACCATGTCATCATTGTTTTTTACTCTCTTGTCTGATATGTACCCCAAATAATAAACACCTGCAACGCAACTTATATTTACACACCTCTCTGGTAAAAAAATTACGATCATTGTGGCATTACAAAATGCAGGGTCAAGTCTATTCGCTTAGCTTGAAAATGGCGACTGATAAGAGGTTTGCATTTGTGGTCCGATAATTTTTTAAATAAACAGTTTTTACACAGTTTGAATGGGTTAACTTAAAAAGTGAAATCACATAGATTGTTGATGACTAACATTCGTCATTGTAGGACCTTAGAGATGAAACGTCGTATTGAAATTCTAAAAATTATTCATATTGTAGAGGAGAATAAGTAACAAAATGACAACATGCAATTAATTTTAAAATGCGATCTCCAAAATAAAAGTGATTTTGGAATAAATCTGGTATGTGAAACAATTATGTATGACGCATTATACATTTTTGAAATCAGAATTAAAAACTCTACCCACCTGCGCAAAAATCCAGTGTGGCGTCTATAGGAGAAAATAAAATTAAAGCTGGAGGAAATTCTAGTTATGGCCTCCTTGTAGAGGAGAAAAAGTGGCAATGTTAATGTGCGATACATTTTGAAATCCCAAAAATTAAAACGATTTTGGGAAAATTCTGTTTTTTCCGTCTCTCTCCGGAAGCACTCTGAATTCAGAAACTTTCTAAGCAGCATTTTGTTTATTGCCAAGTTACACAACTTTGCCCCCATTTAGGCGACTTCGTATCTCTTACAGATTCCGATATCCCAATGGTGAGGGTCGAAAATGCTCCATGCTCTACGAGTTCACTTGACTCTTGCTTTGAAAATATACAGAACCAACACTAGCTCGTGTAAGAAATTGTACGCCCGCACTACGCTACTAGACGCGCGCCAGTCAGCGTTGACGCACGTATTATGATACTAGACATTCCCATTGCCTACGCAGTTGGCGCTCGTGTTTCGTTCCGTTGAGTCTACATAAATGGTGTGTGAAACATTGCTTTCTTCCTAATGGCACTGAAATGGACACCAAATGAATGTAATTAAGATCCTTCGATGAATACATCTGAAAAGTGGCCTGCGCTTTGTAGGTTATATTCAAATAAGATGCCATAATCTCTTACTTCATTTATATTTAGTAATAACAATAACGATGATAATTAGAATCATTCTATCCTGTCATTCAACGATTATATTGTCATTCTGAGGTAGTAAGTTGATCCAGTTCATGTTTTTAAAGATTTGAACGGAGCGTAGGAAAGGAACTTATTTAAGTTTACTTCCTATGAAATCCTCGAATGAGCCCAGTATACCCTTTCCCTTGTACACCCTTTCATTCTTCCGTATGTTAACAAAGCACAAATAGATTCTTCCATATTTATTCTCGTTCTGTAAATCAATACAATAAACTGACACTGGCTTACCTTCCATTCTGTATAAAATTTCTCCTGTCATCTGAATGCCGACTCAACAAACCCATGCGACCTCGTCGCGCGTCGAACATGGCTCATTTAAAGTATGCCTTAGTGAATTGGAAGTGTCTAAAACACATGTAAATGTAACTTACTATTCGTTTGTCTGGGCGGTCCGTAGGACCTTTGCCCATTAGTCACTGTCTAATGTACGTTAGTCGAATCAGTCAGTCCTGGTTGCCCAGAAACCAGACAATGTCAAGGAAAAAGAGAATGGGAAAGAGAAGAAAAAAGGAGATGAGCAAAGAAAAACAAGTGTTTAGTTTAAAAGGAAACTCTTAGGCTTTTTTTCTTGGTACACGGATTAATTTTGAGGCGAACTAAACAAAGCTTGATTCGGTTTTGTTAGAGTGTAATTTTAAGTTTACTTAAAGTTCGCGCTACTTTTTGATTACAGTGCTAGCCGTGGCCTTGAATGCTTACGAACTTGCTCCACTGTGTAGTCCACTGAGGCATGCATCAGAGGGTTGCTGTGCGATTCCGCTTGACTATAACGTCGCTGCGTCTGAAGCTTGACATAATCCCTCAAGTAAGGAATATCAAGGTCTCTGTGTAGTGTCTCGTTTGAGACATACCATCTAGCGTTGCAAATTATAGGCAAAGTTCTGCTTTGCAGCACTTGAAGGCTTTGCATGTGTGTCTTGGCAAGAAAACACCAAGCCGTACATGCACAAGTAATAGCTGGTCAAATTATCATTTTATATAGGCGAACTTTATTTATCAATCTCAATTTCAAATCAAATCACCTTTTCAGCGAGCTTAGAAGGAGCTGACAGCAGACTAGTGGGAGGGTAATCCTGAAAAAATATCGAACCCACCTTCTTTGGAATCACGATGACCTCAGCAGTCTTCCACCCAGCAGGGAAGTACTGGATTGTGAGCATTGCATTGATTATTTTCACCAAATATGCCAGAGCTTTCGGCGATAGCAGCTTCAACGCCTTGTTGGTGACTTGATCCTTCCCAGGTGTTTTACGCACCTTGAGGTCTTCAATATGACAGGAGCTCCGCTGGTGTGCAATGTGGAACCTTGGAGGATTCCGTTAATGTGCTATGTGGAGCCTCAGACAAATCTTCTGAAGAAGAGTCATCTGAAGAGGATTCAGTCCTTCCGCTAACGCCGCTGGCCCTAAAATATCTCCTGACGGATCGAACGATATGTTGTTCCTCGTCGAGGTCATTATCAAGATTTTAGTTGGGAGAGAACTGTTTTTCCATGGCATCAGCGAAAACCTCGACCTTATCCTCCGTTCTGAAGACTATGCCTTCAAGACCGTGGATGTGCGGGAGCTGTTCTCGCTTTTCGTTTCTGAGTGACTTTGATACCCTCCAGAGAGGAATTCTTGAATCAAGCATTCCCACCAGGAAGCCGCTCCATTGCTCGTTACGGAATTCGTGCAGTGCGTTTCTCACTTCATGGACAAGATTTGTATCCCTACGAATGTCATCACGATGACAATACCTTTTGGCCTGCTTGATAGCGGCTCCTTTGTCAGAGATTTTCTGGCGAACGTCCGCAGGCAAAGAAGGTCTGCCGTGTCGTTGTACAGGAAGTATAGCTGCACGCTGTAGAGTTGATGGAATAAAACTTGTCTACTCCGCTTGAGCGGCATCTATTCCACACTCACCATCTATGATCGGGATATTGGGAAACAGGAGCAGCTGGTATAGCTCCCAATCAGTACGTTTCCTTGGAGGAGCTTCCCCCTCAGAAGTTTGCTCATTGCCCACATCCAAGACAACAGGTAGATGATCACTAGAGATATCATACAAGATTCGAGGAGAGATACTGTATCTACAGTTTTTAGATACCGCGAAGTCAATGACATTTGGTGCATGAAGATGGTTGAATGGATGATGTGTCGGCTCTTCAGTGCTATGAATAAGGTATACCTATTTTGCATCACATGGTTGTACAATCGAATCCCACTAGTGGAATTCCACCTAGAATTGCATGCTCGATGTTTGCAGTTGAAGTACCCTGCCACAATAAGCGGACCCCAGTAGTCCAAAGGGATCTCCAGATCCGCCTCTTATAGCCTGGCACCACACCTGACATACAATGCTAAGCCGCCACCTCGACCATTCAATCTGTCACCTCGGCTAACATCATAATTCGGGAGAACTAAACGGTCTCCCGGATTAAGCAACGTTTCCTGTAGCATGGCCACATCTATACTTTCATCCAAAGGAGCTTGATGAAGTTCCCGTTGTTTGGGAATATCCTTTATGAAAAAGAATTTTGACGAATGTAGGCTGTCTACTATTGTACCTAGAGATTTACAGGAACGATCGGCTGCAACGCTTAGGTAGCGCTGATCAGTGGGCTTATTATTTGTTGTAAGGAGCTTAGCGCGGTTGCCAAGTCCATATTTTGCGTGCTCAAGGAAGGTTGGGCAGAGGGGGCAGGAAGGTTGCCTCCCTCGCTGCGTCCGTGTATGACATGGCATGGGCGCTCCGCGGGTGCGCTTCAATCGAATGATGTGGAGAGGGCTTTATCCCCTCTGCTCAAGTTCTTCCTCAGTATCCGAAAAATGAACGGGATCTCCTCGAATGACCGCATAGATGTTCCGTTCCGAATGGAGAGGAAAAGTGTGATGGGTACCTACTTCTTCCTCTGAGAACAGACGAACGATCTTACGTTAGTCGTCCTCGGATTTATGAATAATTCTTATTCCCGCCTCAACGGCAACCGCGCGATCTATTTTAATACCTAGGGAAGTGAACTTGAAATTTAAAGTACGCCACCTCGCCCCGTCGCGTAAAACGATCAGGGTTTCGCGCCCTTGGCGTGAGGGTTGTGTTGATGCCACGACGGTTGGACGAGATGACGGGGGAGAAGTAACATCGGCCGACGGAGTCATCTGAGAGATAGACAATGTGATCCCTGTGCTGACCGATATCAATGATTTGTTAGTAGAGGCATTAAAGGTGTTTCGATTTGATGAAGTGGGGAAGGTGTGAAATGGAATTGGTCCTGTATTCGGAAGAGGAGAAAAGTCTTGGGTTGGCTTATCCTTCTTGATTTTACTTTTACAAATCCGTCGGTCTGTAGGTCTTCGTCTAGGGATGTGAAATGATCGTCAGTGACGTTTCTCAGTGGTCTTTTCAGAGTGTTTTCCCGTTCCTTAGGGGATTCTTTCGAGTTTACTAATATTGTTACCTGGGCGGTCAGGCTGTCAGTTTTGGATGTTTGGTCCTTGATAGTCTCCATTAGGTCTCGGATCTGCCTCGCCTGGTCGTCTATAATCAGCATAAGTTTTTCAATGGTTTTCTGCTCCGATGACATCTGCGTCAGTGGACCCATGTTTTCTG